CTGAAGCCGCCATGGGAGGAGGTTGCTGGGTTCTCGCTGGCAACTAAAGGATTGTGGTCCAAGTTTGAGGCTCTGCGTCTGGAAGACGGGGTGCTGCAAAGGGCATGGAAAGACCCCGCCACAGGTGAAGAGCGATGGCAGATTGTAGTCCCCAAGGGTCTGCAAGACGTAGTCCTGCAGGCCATGCATGGAGCATCTGGGTCCGGACATTTTGGCGTCACAAAAACACTCCGCCGCCTCCGGCAGGGGTTTTACTGGAGCCGGTGCAGGAGGGACGTGGAGGACTTTTGCCGCCGCTGTGACCCCTGTACAGCACGGAAGGGGCCGACAGGTCAGTCACACGCCCGCCTGCAACAGTTTGTTGTAGGGGCCCCTATGGAGAGAGTGGCTGTGGACATTATGGGTCCGCTGCCACGCTCAGACAAGGGAAACTGTTATGTTCTGTCAGCTATTGACTATTTTACAAAATGGCCAGAGGCTTACGCCATCCCTGATCAGGAGGCAGAGACAGTGGCCGATGCCTTGGTGGGGGGACTGATTAGCAGGTTTGGGGTACCAGACAGTATTCATAGTGACCAGGGCAGAAATTTTGAGTCACGGGTGTTTTCTATCATGTGCAGCCGTTTTGGCATCCAGAAAACAAGAACAACACCATTACGTCCCCAGAGCGATGGACTGGTGGAAAGGCTCCACCGCACCTTAGGACAGCAGCTGGCCATCCTCACAGCGGAGCATCAGCGGGACTGGGACGAGCACCTTCCACTGGTGCTAATGGCATGCCGCTCAGCTGTACAGGACTCTACGACATGCACTCCATCGCTCCTCATGTTGGGGAGGGAGTTGCGCACACCAGCTGAACTGTCTTTCGGACGACCTCCAGATGCACCTGCTGTTCCAGCCGGCCCTGAGTATGCCAGAAAGCTTCAGGACAGGTTGGAGATAGCACATGCATTTGCTCGGAGACAACAGGAACAAGCAGGTGTGCGCCAAAAACGGAACTATGATGTAAGAGCTAAGGGTCGACACTTTACAGCAGGAGAGCTGGTCTGGGTTTACAACCCTCGGAGAAAGAAGGGCCGTTGCCCAAAACTAGACAGTCAGTGGGTGGGGCCCTGCAGAGTGTTGGAGCGCATGGGGGAGGTGGTTTACAGAGTGCAGATGCCCCACAACAGGAGAAGACTAGCACTGCACAGAGACAGGTTGGCTCCCTATCAAGGCAGGGCTGCACCTCAGGCCTCAGAAGGCCATCAGTCGGGGTTGCCGGTATCACTACCAGCCTCCCCAGAAGCCATGCTGCTGTTGCCAAATGATGTTCCAGTGGTGCAGTCTGAAGCGCCTCAGAGAGCTCGCCCTCAGCGGGCGAGGAGGGCCCCAAGACGGTTTGATGACTTTGTTTGTTCCCTCGTGGGCGAGGAACTCTGTAGTGGGGGGGTAATGTAATGATTCTGTGTTTTAGTTCTGCTGGTGTGGATATGGTTATGTGTATTTGTTGTATGTTACATTGTGATCTTTATTATGTGTATAAAGTTATAGGCTTCC